ACACACAGAATATTACACACACACACACACACACACACACACACACACACACACACACACACACACACACACACACACACACACACACACACACACACACACACACACACACGGCTGTGCTGAGAACACTTTCATTCCTGCTTTTTTTTCAGATTTTCCTACCACAGTAGCAAAACCACAATGTTCTTTCGCACGCAAGCTGTACTGTAGCTACATTCTTAATACTGAAGGCCCGTGCACATTAACAAGAATTATTACATAAACGCTTTTTTAATCTACCCAAACCAAATCTTCATGTGTGCCTGTTATTCATGGCCCTGTGCGCACACTATTTGCGAACTAGGAACAAAGTTAAAAAGTGTAGCTGTTTATTAACAGCTCAAGACTTAATGTTAAGTTCAGTGAGGTGTGGCGAAAACTAGGGATGGAGTTTTTTGTATTTTGTATTTATTTATTAGATTTAATGACATTAGAACATAAGTAAAGTACATATGTGTCTGTCTTTTAAAAAAGGTGCATTGTTTTTCTTTTACTCGTTTGTTTGTGTGCAGACATTTTCCTATTAGATTAAAAGTATTGAAGTCTTAACAGATATTTATAAACCATTAATGTGGCAATCTATTTGAGATCCTAATGTACCTCACAATGGGATTGAGACTGGGTGCCTCAGAATGAGGTTACGTTGCTTCCTGTTTGTAACTGAAGAGCAGTTTTCAAAGCACTGTGTCAAAAGAGAGGTAACTGAGGCAAAGTATAAATAGACGACAGGCACACCTCACTCTCTTAACACGGTGATGCGACTCAGACTCAGATACGTCGTTTCAGACAAACAATCCGTTTCGTTTGAGACGGCTGGAATATGGCAGGTACGATCACAACTATCTTTTTTTATAAGATTCAGATTTATAAACTTGTATCTAATATTCCTACATTGTACATGTGCTGATATTGTACTGTATCCCTTAGTGTGTTTCGACTTTCACCACAAAAACAGGAAAAGCCGAATCATTTCTAAAGCGTATTTCACAGAATTTGGAGTTACTTGTGTATGTTCGGTTAAATGCTCTGTTTATTGACTCTTAGTATACACACATAACTTTGTTTACATTGTGTTAATGTCAAAGTAAGCACATTGATCAAACCATGTGCAGCATACTTAATCATTTTAAAGCTTGTGAACTGCAGTATTTATAAATATTATGATATAAAGATTAGATATTATTAACAATAATAAAATACGTATTATATATGTTTCTCATATTTGAGAGTATTGTTTTCCTAAAATTGGTAATAACAATTTAGCTTGTGTGATATATTTTTTAAAGCCGTCTTCAAAATGTCTCATATGCAGTAGCACCCTGTAGACACATTTAAAGTTAAAGTTATATCTTTTAAATGAACAATAGCTTCTTTATGTCTATGGTTTTTACATCTTAAAAGGTCAGGGATGGGATTTCCCAGTTTCTGTGAAGTATTTGATTACCGGTACATCTGTGCTTCTGATCACAAATAATGACGCAAATTTGACGTTTTTTTCTTTTCTGTTTATCATTGAGACATACTGAAGGAAATTCTACACAGTTGTTAGCAGATAAAACATTAAGGACCATTAGTTTCGCACACTGACTTCAAAAGCAGAGTTTAAGATGTTGATAGTGGGTTTTCTTTTCTTTTAGCAGTTGAAGTGGCAGCTCTGGCGCTGTTATCTCTGGCCTTGTTGATCTCTGTTTGTCTCAATGTCTTCTTCTGGATCAGACAAAGATCCACTTTGTGCAAAGGTATGGTTGCATTTAAAATGTTTATTAAATTGCTTTGTTAGCGTTTACCATAACTGTAAACCTCTCTCTGCTTTTAAAAGAACAGGGCCTTTATAAATGTATAAATATTGTGTTCCAACAGACACGGACGAGTGCTGCTTCAGAAATATGAATACAGGAGCAAGGTATGCGTTGGCTTGTTTGCATGTTAGCCCATTATAAGTGCAATACAATGAGAAATAATATATAAAAAGGGAATCCATTATTTGCTATACATCTACGAATAACCTCTTATTATAGAAATAACCTGTGATATGTTGTTGAAGCCCCTCACAGGATGAAGGGCATTATTTTCATGAACACAATCACGAAGAGCTGCAGGAAAATCCAATCTACGGCAACATCAGCTCAGACAGAGGAGGTGAGAGCAAAGCCAGAGATCATTTTGTATATAACAATAAAATAAATAATAACATTAGTCTCTGAATGACAAGCATGACACAATATATATCTTTGTCTGTGATACTCTGTTTGATTACACAATTCATTTCTGTTAGAATCACCTTTATGACTATTTCCTTTTCCTGTACTTGTAGGCAGTATATTTTAGCAAATGCCACGTTATCAAATGTAAGATTATATCAGTGTGTATCATAACAAGTTGAAAGTTCATTTGGATCAATATCATGCAGAGCAAACTTAAGATATGTATAAGTCAATGCATCCAAAATGTTTACTTCCTTTTTTAACCACAGTTCAAAATAGTTAGATTTCCAATATGTTGTAATTGATTCTAGGACCTTCTCTTTTCTATTTAACGTGACTCCATATGTGTGCTCATAACGTATACAAGCCCAATGACCAATTCATGTGTTCAGATTCTGTCGAGGTTTGCTATGAGACGATGACCATGGAACACGCAACAGATCGCATGAAGGTAATTGAAAATGTGACAGAATAACTTCAAAAAAACGTGCTTTTGTGAGCTGAGGTGCAAAATTCAGTTTTCACCCCGTTGATGTTATTTATTTGCACGGGTTATTCACACTCGTACATATGATATCGTGTGGATTTCATGCTAGGATAGTGACATCTTTAAACCTCTCTTAAGCTTTCCATCTGCAACACGCATGATAAAATGTGAATGTATCAGGTACTAATGTTGCCTAATAATATTCTAAACCGCTTTATTCGCTTTTTATTTTGTTATTATTTGATCTATGTATGAATGCTGAGTGTCTTTGCTGTATGTTTTCTATTCTGAATGTATTGATGGCACCTGAAAAAGGAGTAGCTTTACTCTTTTCGTTGTACTTCTACAATGAATATAAATGCGTCTAAAATGTGCAAATATAGTATTCTAGTATTTATTTGTATTGGTGCAACTATAAATACATATATAACAGCATTGTATTAAAAAATATACATGCAGACCTGTTTAAACCCATGCCGACATATTTGCTTTCAAAGCGGAAGGCAGCTAAACACTTTGAAGTTGTGGTCAATTTAACTCTGAACCAATGCACACCATAAGGCACATAGTGCTCTAAAAATAAACTAGGCTTACAGAAATACATGAGAGTTAACAACCACAAGACTTAGAAGATCACACCGGTGTTTACTGCTGATGCTTTTTTTGGTTATCTACGCAAACAGCATTTTACTAACCCATGTTTTTCTCTACTGTCTGAAACCAGTCCACAGCGCCTGACCTGAATTATGCCTCATTGGATCTTAAGTTGGTAAAGAAACGCATGAAGAAGAATCGCCATCAGCAAGGCCCCGCCCAGAGAAGAAGCAAACTTCCAGAGGAGCTGCCGGGCCACCTCACACCCACCCTGAATACTTTCTTAGAGGTGGAAGCAGACATGGATGCTCACCTTCCTTCCAGAAACACCAGCACCATGGTTTCACACAGCAGCATCTACCTGAACAGTCAACAGATAGCCCAGGAGACAGAGGAGCTGGAGAGGGACAGGGGTGTAAACATGGAGAGGGAGATCGTGGGTTGGGGGGGAATAAGAAAGGGGCAAAGTAGAGAGTGGAAAGGAGACCAATGCAATGCTAATGGGGTTTTATGCACACAGCTTTCAGAAGGAGAGGCTATTCAGAACAGCAGCTTTAGCAATGAGAGTGAGCATCAAGATTAAGATTCAAGTGTTTGAGCTACCTAAGAAAAGCTAACTGTCCATTATTGTGTCTGAAAGAATGAATGAATGTTACCTTCAATATTTAACAAGCTTTTTGCGCAATTTCCTCTTTGATGTAAATACATTTGAACTCTCCAGATTGAGCAACAGAGGAACACAAGGTGCTGCGGAGGTAAAAAAACTGAGAATAAAGAAAGAAATGAAACTCGGTGTGTGACATTTAGAGGTCAAGGACCCAGTGGAAAATGTATGTTTTGAAAGACAAGGAAGACATCGAATCATCACAGGACATGGAAGATCTTTCACTGTTTTGATGTCTCATAGCAGATGTCTCAGAAAGGTGTGAAGGAAAAACAATCTAACATTTGTTTTCCACGCTGTAGGCGATATGACAATATACTCGCCTATGCACACGTGAATCAGCTTTTCAGTTATATTACCATGGATGATACAAATGAACATGAAGATTTGATTAAAGGTTGGAAAGTAAAAAGCGGAAAGCGATAAGTGAGATATTAATAATGTCACTGTATTTTCCCTGTGGGCATATTGTAGGAAATGTCACCCACAGAAGATTTTCCACGTCAAAGTTACCATTACGGTCATTACTTTTAAGATTGATTGCACTCAAGAGCTAATGCGCCATCTGCTTAAATGATTATTTCCCTCTCTTGGCAAGGATAATTTACTGCACTGCTTCCTGTTGAGGGAGCTGAGCTCTGAAGTGAACTCAGCAGTTAGAGGTCCGCAGTATACTAACTGTTGGATGACAGCTTTTCAATAACTCACCACGGCCTCCTACACCTCTATAGATTCATTTTTGGCTTCATTATTGCTGACAAAGCAGCATAAAAAGTGAAATAGCAAAGCATTATTCATATCTGCCTAAAAGTGTGTCATATACTTGACTTATGCTTCCGTAGAGACTAGCACTTTACTTTTGCTTCAATAAAGTTTTAATTAGCAGAGTTTTATCATGAATAAATTAATATCAGCTACATTTTGAAACATAAGGACTATAGTCTGATTTAAACAGTCGCCAAGAATCCTTTTACATTATTGCATCAGTCTCTATATATATAGCATTCTCTTAATGCACAGAAAACAAATGACAGGATATGAGGGGGGTGGGTGACATGTGATAAGAGTCCCATGGCTGACATGAGACATAACTGTAACACCTGTCAGATCACACCAAAAAGTAATGGAAAAGGGACTAACATTGAGTCACCAGTGTGTTTTTGATCTGCCACCCTATGGTTAACAAGACTAACTACATGCTTAATTAATTAGAAAAGGTCATATTGGTCATGATTGATTACGGGAAGATTCCCATCATTTTTCAAAAGCATTAAAGCCTTATGCTTTAGGATCCAACCATCTCCTTCCAATATGGGCTTGCACACCAGAAATAAAAACAAATGTCATATTGTGTGTGAGGTCTGAAGGCCTTAGTGCAGTGGTGTCAAACTCAAGGCCCGGGGGCCTAATCCGGCCCGCGACCTCATGTTATGTGGCCCGCAAGAGCTTGCAAAGAATATTATATACAATACAATATTTGCTTTCAATTATTTGCCCTAGACTTCTGCTTTCAGACGTATAGTTATTTATGAAGTTATTACCAGAACTAATAATAATCCAACGCAGAGCCAATAATGTAGTAGAATACATTATTTAATAAATATTATATATTCATATATGTATATTTATATAGAAAATCCAAGTGTGCAAAGCTGTCATCAAGGCAAAAGGGGGCCAATTTCAAGAATCTAAAATATAAATAATATTCTGGATTTTGTAACACTTTTTTGTTTACTAGATGAATCCATATGTGTTATTTCATAGTTTTGATGTCTTTAGTAATAATCTACAATGTAGAAAATTATTAAATAAATAAAAACCTTCGAATGAGATGGTGTGTCCAAACTTTTGACTGCACTGTATATTTAAATAGTTACAACCGGCCCTTTGAGTGTGATCATATTGCTAATGTGGCCCGCGATGAAATTGAGTTTGACACCCCTGCCTTAGTGCAAGAAATCATCTGTTTGAAAGCCACTGATTACAATTACAAACAATACAAGCTTCTGTTCTGCCTATATGAGGCAGATTATGTGATGATGCTCACATTTGCAAAGAGTAGCATGGGAAGAAAATCAATTGTTTTAAGTGTAAATAAACAACATATGCGTATAAATTAAGACTTATTACTTCAAACCCATGTATGAAGTGCATTTTTAAAACCAGTACTTTGAAGAAAAACATCTTCATTCCAGTAGGCCTTGTACTTTGGGATATTGATCACTTACCTGTTCAGGTTGCATTCATGGCTCATTCTCCAGGAAGACGTTTAGTTAGCTCTTTAGCTTTGTGACTGTGACGACAGTATACAGCAACAAGCAGCTGCCATGCTGTTAAATTCAATAAAAACAATGTTTCGATGGTTAGCATTCAATTAGTTTGTTGAACTTTTACGGTCCAATAATTGTAATTTCTGATAATTAAACATTTGACAGAGAAGGCACCCCTCAGAAGTCGTGGATGTCATGATGCTAATGGCACTTAATTGCCGGTGTGCTAGTTTTGTAAAAGGGTGAGATTTGTAACAATTCTCACATTGTTTAAAAGCAATTAAACAAACATGTGGGCTTCTTACTATAAAGACAATTAAGAAAAAATAACAAATACATTAATATCTTACAATTAGGTGCAAGTTACTATGTTTGTTTGTCTGGCTGTTTGAGTACAAACTTCGAAAACTGTAACTAATCAAAATAGCATGACTTGTTTTCCTCTTGCTTTCAAACGACCGGAAATGGAACAGAGTGAGGCGTCTTTCAGGGCGGAGACGATCCTTTTTTCAAACATGGCAGCTCGCATGTGAATGTCATGCCATCTTAATATATTCCCTGAATCGGTTCATGTTTGGCTACGATAAGTGTTGCGTTGGTGCTGACATCTTGCGGGATTGTGATATATTCACCGGAGAGACCTAAGGCTTGGAGAAAACCATAATAACCTTGTTGATTCCTTAACGGACCAGCTCTGGATGTTAGCATTTTAGCTAACCAGCAGTCAACTTAAGACGTGATCACGATGGAGCCTGAAAATCAACTAAGAAATGTAATTAACATGTATATGCAATGTCAGCTACACAATTGAAAGTGAACAGTTTTTATGGTAATTTGGGTTGGTTGTGTTTCTTGCAGCTGAGGGACTTCCTTTTGGTCTACAACCGAATGACTGAAGTCTGTTTCCAGAGATGCAGCAGCAACTTCAACTACAGAAGTCTGACAATGGACGAGGTGAGATACATTCACCCATTGCATTTAATTTAACTGATATGTTTATACATATAACCTTACTAAACGTGGCTTAAAGTACGTAGCCTGAATAGCTGTGCATTACACCCATACAACGCAACTGTATGTCAGTGGTAATTATGAAGAAAAGCATGAGCATTCGTAAGCTGCTGTAAAAACAGACTCATTCTTCAGGATCTCTACATTAAGCCAAAAGAGCAGCAGTTAAGGGGACGTATCATCACGTGATAGGCTTTATGATCAGGCTAGAAGTCATCCTTTTTAATTCATCCCTAACTAAGACTTGTATGAGTTTCAGGTCAGGTCTCTGTGAAGGTCATTGACATGACATCAGAGTCATTGTCATATTGAAAAAGGTCTCCACCAAACCGCTGCTACAGTATAAAGGTGTTAGCATCCTGTTGTCTCAAATTCTTTACTGTAGTTTTTGTGGTTAATATGGCTGTCTTTGGCTCTTTTCTTGCTGTAACAAATGCAAAAAGGTATTCTGATTCTGATCCGGATTTAATATTCACATGGATTGAAAAAAAAGTATGTTTTACTCCCCCGTTCCGCATTCTTTAGATTAATATTGTATCAACAGCACTTTTCAAACCGTTTTAGTTTTGTTACAAACGGCTTTCTGTTGTTTTCACCTCTTATTGCTGTTGTCTGTCTAGGAGCGGTGTGTGGACAGCTGTGCGGGGAAGCTGATTCGCTCCAACCACCGTCTGATGGGCTCCTATGTGCAGCTGATGCCTAAGATGATGCAGCGCCGGGTGGATGAGATGGAGAGCAAGGCGGCAGAAAGTGCCAAGGCTGCGGAGGCCGCTGCTTCTGCAAATGTTGAGCCAGCTGTCACAGAGGCCTCTGCAGCATCTCAAACCCCCATCACCTTATCTCCACCCCCAGAAGTACCCTCAATGTTGGATCAACCTTTTACCTCAATGACGATCGATGACATCGGAACCGAGGCCCAAAGCTCAGTCTTAAAGCCAGCAGGATTGGATATCCAAAATGACTTTGACACTGCTTTTCTAAAATCTACAACGTCAACAGATGTCAGATTATCAGCTGCCTCACCATTCACACCTCTGGTTGAGACAGTGAGTCTACCAGCGCCCAATGAAGCTGGCAATGGACCGTCTTACACAGCAAGCTTTCACCCGCCACCAATAGCTGGTCCCCACTTTGAGTCTGAGATCTCAGTGCCTGTGTTTATGCCATCTAAACCAATATCCTTATCAGAAGATGTTCCCATACCAACTGTAGCTGCTCCTACAGTCTCTAAATCTATTGAGAGCCTGTCAGGCCAAGAGAAACCCCCATTGGTTCCCCCACCTTCGGACCCTTAATGATGGTCAATCTGGGTCTGAATCAGGTCTCACTGTTAGCAACATGACTACCATGATGAGTAACTCTCACTGGCAGTACATGTGATATTCCCCATATTGCTGAAAAGAATAGTTTATTAATAGTTCAACATAAATTATTAACTAAATCAGAAATGGTTATACATTATATTCTGATGGCATATACCATTGTCTGGCTACAGTCATGCTTTTCTTTTTTCATTCTTTAAATTAAAAGTATGTTGCTTTTGCTTGACAACATTAGCAGCTTAAAGACCTCACATGAATTGAGCAGGAGTCGTTATGTTTAGATTTTTTATTTTTTTTTAAACTTAAAAAAAACATTGTTAGCTCAACTGCCCTGCAATCCACCAGGAGAGAAATGTAAACCTGTATGGAGAGAAAAACATATTCAAGCATGTCCCTCATGATTGTTTAAATATATACACATATGCAGATATTATAAATCCTTGGTGTATGTGCTTTTATGGTAAAGAAAGAAAGGAGGTTGTTGTAGCAGCAGTACATGAGTGTAGGTGTGTGCAAGACAGTTAAGTGAATCATATTCAGTCATGAACATTTGTTTTGAAAGGTTACAGTAAATGCAGAAATAAGATTTAACAATAAAAAATAACATTCATTCAGTTTTTCTTGATGTTACATTTTCTTTTGACAACCATTTTCATTTGTTGTTTGACAAAATTAAATGCCCTCATGCCTCCAGATGCTCAAACTCAGCAGTGGTTTTGGGCGTATTCCACTCACTTTCACTTGTGGGTGTAAATTCAGTTCATGACCTTCATCACCTTCTCCTCCCATCATTTCCTGTATTTGCACCAAACACGCTACTGTCTATAATCCAGCAGCAAAGCCATGATAAGCAATCATAAACACATTGTCATTAGCATCTTACCAAAACCACAAGGTAGTGAAGTTCTTCAGTGTAACAGTCAGATGGGATGTTAAAGGATGCTAGAATCAATGATAAAGATATGAAAGGGGTTCATTAAAACTTATTTTCCAGGTTGGAGAATGTGGTCAAGCAATAGTCCAAAATATTAAAAAAAATGTGTTATTAACATCTTTCTATTGCAACAATAGGCAGACATAACTTATGTACAACCTATAAACATGTCCTGATAAGTTTGGCTAATTGTATTTTTTCCTTTGTTGATGTAATAAAAAATGTCAGGTGACATATTGTTTTGATTTTCTACTCTCAAGCTTTGGTATTGGCCTCAAAAATCCACTTCCTGTCAGTCT